TCATTTGTCCATTGAGTTGATGCAGTTCCATCATCTTTTTGCACACAGTCAGGACTTTGCATGTGCTGATTTTGAAGGTAAATTGTCTGACATTTCTTGGGCTACAAAAATAATCAGTGTTCTCATGAATGCATTTTGCTACTCATCAGTTTCCAGTCCAATTAAAAAAAAAAAAAAACAGGCTAAAAGTACAATAGCAGTCGTGTAGGATGTGGTCAGCTCTTTGTTTTGAAAACGGGACGGGGTTAGCACTTCTGACTCTCCGTCTGAACAACTGCTAATTGGCTGCAGCCAGTGCAGTCTGGAAAGATGCGCATTTCAATTCGCTCCGGCGGTGTTTTTCCCTCTCAGAGCAGCCCGGTCACTATGGGAACGCTGCGGGCCGTTGTCAGGATGTGGGGTCCCTGGGAGTGGGAGTCCAGCTGCGTCCACCTCCGGTGTTCATCCACTGCCGGCCTCCCATCCCCCCGCCGGGCCCCAGCCCCGCCGGATCTGTTTTTCTAAACCGAGAGGAGTGACTCACCACTCCGGTTTCAAAACAGGCCCAGAAAGAGGGGGAGGGTGGCGGTGAACGTTAAAGGCCCTGTTTGGACGGGCTTTCAGCTCAGCACAGTCCCGCCATGCAGCAGGTCTGAGCGACTGTTTGAGAAGGAAATAAAAGCGCTCTGACGCCAGGATCAGCTGTAACAGGCACAAATCTCACGGTGTGTCTGAAGCAGCTTCTTGCAGAGCGCGCTGCTGCTCGAAGAATGCATTAATGCAGGACAAATCAATTTAATGGAAATCAATGGCAGGGCAGTCATGTGAAAGTCCAGTCTGAATCTCTTTTCAATGAGCTGCTGAGTAAAAGGAGAGTGCATAAGAAAGCCATATGAACAGAGGCATGCATACATAATCCTCCCACCGGGGAGGCCTTAAACCCTCCTGATTACAATGTATTGATTTTCATGACAAAACAGTGACAGTGAGCCACAGGTAACAGTTTGTCTGCTTCGTTCACTGAGCTCCTGCTGTGGCCCTTTCAGCAAAGCAAACAGGCTTTTGTTTAGCTGTCAGTCACATCTACACCTGTGCTCTCACTCTGGGGTTTGCATATAAAACATTTGTACCCCCACAGAGCTACATTTCTATCAGCTGATTAGTTTTAAAATATCAGATCAGTCCTTTTGTTTACAGACAGAAACTTGAAGGTCCTCGGCCCCCTCCTACGCCTCCCATCTGCATTTACTGACTCCACCCATCCTCTTGCAAAGCCAGCGCTCTGAAACGCTGTCCTCATGTGGACTCCCGGCCCTGAGGCTGAAATGCAACTCTGTAATGACAGGTCTGGAAAAAATTGGTGTTTACACTGGAACAACATCCACCAACTCACTGATGACAACATCTGATGACAAAATATTGATGTGACTCCAAAGTGCACTTGTGAAGGTCCTCCTACACTTCCTGTGCCTCTGGACAGGCAAAATGGTTCCTTTAAGTTCTACTGAAACTCACTGAAGTCCAAAAAAGGGTTCCCATGGACATTTGGGGGTTATACATTCACTGGTGTAGCAGCGTTTTTGCTCTGCTTAACTTATTCTCCACTGATAAACACTGTTTGAGCCGATATGACTTCTGCTGGATGCCTGTGTCTCACTGAGCAGAACCATGTTCACAGTCTGACAGGTCGGGTAGTTTTCTAAGTGGACAGTCTCTCAGCTCAGACAATAGTTTAAGGTAAATACCTGCAAGCATCATTGCTGACTTCACAGCTAGTTTCTAGACCCGTCTGGTTCCCCTACACAACTCATTTCAAAGTTTGGAACCCTTTGGAAGTTAAATACTGATGTGTAGATGTAACGTTAGGAGTTTCTAAACATGTGTCGGAACCATTTTATGGGTAAAAACACATCAACAGTCATTATTCACAGCAGATGACCAAACATGTCTGTGGGTATTGTAACACTGAGGGAGAACAACACTCAGAGGTGATTACTCCTTTCACACAAAAGCAACAAGTCCTAAAAACTTGGTGTTATTTAATGTACAGCAGGTCCACAACATTCAGTACAACTAGGGACAGAACCGGGTCTCACACTGCCCGGTCACGGTGTGCAGGCGTCTGATTAACTCACTGGTTACGTGTAACAGCAGCCTTTGAGTGAAAATATATTTCCCTCATTTGCAGCGACAGCGTGCGTCCTGATGCCCCAGACAGGCCGACAGTAAAACTAAGCTCAGTCTAGGCTTAATCTAAACTGCACCCTAAAAACAAGCAAAGACCTCAATCACTGATCCTTTTTAAATGTTGTGTTACATAAAAGCTCCTGTACTCTGTAATGTAATGATTTTTGAATACATTATAATTCCCATCTATTCGACAGGGTTTACTGCAAAAACATGCTTTTTAAATAGAATCTAACTGCACACGGTAAAGCAGGTCTGATTTTTAGTCACGTCTACTCGTCTGACTAAAAACCTCAGAGCTTAAGTTCTACACACTGACCCAGAAAAGGTTCGTTAATAGCAAAACCAAACTTAAAATGAGAACGCTTGTTTCCTGATTTATTAAAAATAGATATTTCAGTAATTACCTGGTAAATTATGTTATTCATTTGTGTCATAATTCCTGTGCGCTTGTTGGTCATTTGTTATGTCGGTAATAAAAACCTTGAGAACTAAACGTACAGCAGCACGTGGACGTGGTGGTGTTGGACGTGGACGTGGTGGTGTTGGACAGACGGACTCACACTGCAGGAGGCCATGTTGTGTTATTTAGTTGTATGACAGAACTGTTGTGCGTCTGTTGCTCAGTAGTTATGTCGTTTAAAACGGTGAAACTCACCTCATAACGTGCACTGACATTTACTTTTGCATGCATTTTAATATTTATCTTATTGAGGGTAAACAGCCTTGATGTCAAAAAGAGAAGTTTCCAGCCAACACTAGAACTCGTTAGCATGTGAAGCTCGTTAATAACACATGAATACAGCAGCATGGTAGCGTTTCAGCTTAACTCAAACCGTCGTGGGCTGTTTTGTGTTAGTTATGAGTACGACATCATTGCTGAGTGTCTGTTGCACATTAGTTATGTTAAAGGGTTAAAAAAGGGACGTGACTGTTTCATGTCCACAGAAATCAGAGTCATGTAGAGAAGTTCACAGCCCAACACTCAGTCAAGTCTGACAGTTTAATTAAAATGAGATTATAAAGTACTTCAGTAATTAATTCATATTAATCATATAATTCCTGAATGTTCGTTATCTGTGTTCATTAGTAGTCTCTTTATAAAGTGCATTAAAACTCCTCTGGTTACGTATTTTAATGATCATCACCATAACGCCCACTGAAACTAAACCCAATTATGTAGAAACGATCAGCTCACAGGGAGACTAACACTCCACAGCATGTTTATTAAAATACTTTTTAATATATGTATATTTAGTGGTTTTTCAGTAATTAACTCATATTGTAGTATTTTGAGTTTTTCATGTTTTAATCACATAATGTCTGGATGTTATTAGTTATTATTATGTTAGTGTGATGTTATTAATGTCTGTTATTTAGCTGTATGACATGATTCCTGTGTGGCTTTACTACATGTCATATTAAAGCTGAGCAGTGAGATGTGGTCCAGTCTGTGGTCCAGTCTGTGATCCAGTCTGTGATCCAGTCTGTGATCCAGTCTGACCCTACAGCACAGAACCAGCTGCTTCCTAGTTTACACTTAAAGTTTAAATGTGTGTCATTACTGAAGTCATTTCACCGTGACGGTGTAAAACCCTACAAAATACTATAAAGCACACATTCAGCACCGGACTGACCCGGTGCTGACGGTACCAGGCTGACCCGGTGCTGACGGTACCGGGCTGCTCTTCATCTGAACGCCTTCAAAACACTGAAAGGCTTCAACCGAAAATGCAAATAAAAGCGTCTGGTGTGTGTGAAGCGGTTTGTGTCGGTGCCGCCGAGTGCCACCACACACACACACACACACACACGCACACACACACACACACACGCACACGCTCGGCTTTAATGTTTACGTGTCGTTAACGGCGCAGGCCACTGACGAACCGCCCCGCGGTTCTGTTCGCCCTCGCCGGCTGTCAGGAGGCGGACCAGCGGGGGCTGATCTTACGGCGGTTACACAGTGCGGGAAATTAACGTGAACTCCACCGCCCCCTGCTCAACGGATTTTCTACAACGGCTGCTTCTTGCTTTTTTTTTTTTTTTTTTCCTCGGCTGGCGTTTACCCACAGTCATGTGATTGTAACGTAAAACCCCTAACCGGAAAACACCGACGGACGACCCTCTCCGCCGCCAACGAATGCTGCGTTTACAAGGAGCAGTAGAAGCTGCTGCGAGCCCCACAGAGGACGGACGAGTCTCCGGTAACAAACAAACAGCGGCGACACGGCAAAGTCCAGCGACTGAAGCGGAGCGCAGGTACGTGGTTCCGGCCACATACTCACCGTCCGTGTGGCCGTTGTGTTTCGGTACCGGGCTGCTCGCTTGTGCTTCGGCTAACTGTAATTTTTCACGGGGAAGTTAAAAGAAACGCGTTCGTGACCGGCCCCATCCCCCTGCGCCTCTCGCGCTCTCTGCCCCCGCCAGTGTGTGCGCTGTGCGCGCGCGTCCGCGCGCGCGCACAACGCTGTCCGTTCTCTCGCGCTAGCAATAGCAACCGAGAGTCGGTCAACACGCGCGCCCGCCCGCTCCGTGTGCAGCCTGTAGATCCTCTCTGTACCGGGGCCGCTGTTGTTTGGTTCCGGAGCCGTTTGGGTCGCGCGGCGGCTCCGGGCTCCGCGCGCACAGTTTAACGGTGTATTTGGAGAATAAGAGCGAGTCTCCGCGCGGAAGTCACTGGTCCACGTGTCTGCATCGCATCAGGGGCGGCGCTACATTGTTGCAAACAACTTAGAATTGATCAGCGCGTGCTGTCGGAGCTCACGGACCGGACCGGACCGGACCGGACCGGAGGACGGAAAGTTTCGATTAAAAGTCTCCTTTAAACGGTGAAGAGAAAAGTGTGTGACGGAGGCTAGCAGCGAGCTAAAGCCCGTCTGGCCATTAAACTGCAGCATTACGAGTCATTACGGGATCAAGCGTCCACAGCTGTGCTGCAGGCTCATGTTCTCAGAGCCGAACCAATCACAGTAATCCATCAGAAGAACAGCTCTGATGATTAACTGGATCAGCACCGTCTAGTGGCTCTGGATGCGCAGAGGAGACTGTTTGGTGGTTTTCTGTGTTCAGTCCTCCTGATGACGAGCTGTTGTGTTTTTCTGTTTTAATGAAATAAATGTCGCTAAAGCAGCATTAAGGTCTGAGCAACAACTGAAACCATGCAGGAGGCTAAAGTGACACCATTCAGTGGCTCTAGATGCTGAAATGTGAACATGTTGGAGTGAAATGATGCCGGAGGTCCATCTGACTGCTCTGTGTTCTGTCACCTTGAGTTTGTTTGTTTTTAGATCTGAAAACCAAATGAAAGTTGCACCAAGCTGAAGCCTGTCTGGGACCAGTAGGCTGGTGTTCTGTGAGCTGAAACCATTAAAGCTCATTGATCACTCTATTGGAAGAACAATCCTAAAATCACATGAAGTACAAGTGGCGCTGGATTTCTTCAATATTTTCTAGTTTTCTAGTCTGTTTAGTAGCTGATGAGAATGTCCGGCTTCATCCATATGAACAGTTTGTTCTGTCATATTGTCTGAAAGCTGCTCCAGGTTCAGGTCTGCAGGACTACATGCTGTTAGGGAGGAACCGTCCACCCGGCTGAGCTGTAAGCCTCCTGTCTGAGTGGAAACCAGCAGATTAATCAGTTAGTGGGAATATTCTCTGTTTAGAGGAAACCCTGACAACAGTTTCTTTTGTCATGTGTGTTTTCTGCTGTCGCAAGCTGCATCTGAAAACTCAATTATTATTATTAAAGTACATTTATTGAGTATAAAAGGATCGGTGCAGCTCGTAATAACAACACATGTGAACAGCGTTAGCTACTCTGCACTGGTTGTGATGAAGGAGTAAGAACCCAGAGGGTAAGAGCGACTAATAATGAAACCGTCTATTGATTAACATGTATTGAGGGCTGCAGGGAAAGTGAGCAGCTGCAGCCCTGACAGCAGAAACACGCTCACTTTATTAGGCACATGTAAAGAAAACCAGCAGCCCTGGAATGAAACCACGAGCCTGTTAGGTTCTGTTGTTGTCCACTGCTTTGGAGAGATGTTGGTTCAACTTTATGCTAAGTTTTGAGATTATGGTTGAATTACTTTAAAAGATATTTGTCATATTTAAACAACACTGCTGCTGATGGACATTTCACTGTAAGGAGCATTTCTGTCTGTGAAATGACAAAAAGTCGTGAAATTTTAATGCCAAAGGAACGAGGTGACAGATTTTTAATGTGATTAATTCCAACGAGCTGGTTTGTTGTCATGTAGGATTCTAGAGGCTGGAACGAGAGAGCATTCAGCAAATCAGCCTGAAAACAATTAAACAGTTTAAAAACAAAAAAGGCTGGTCTTCTCTTGATTGATGAATTGATGACATGGCGGTGTTATCTAGTCTTTGCTCACTGATGTACATGAGATGGATGAATTATTAAAAACACCCGTTTTGAAATCAACCCAGTTAAACGCATCACAAACTACAGCCTTGAAAATGACCAAAACGTTGAACACACACGTCCACCGTCAGCTTCATGACAAACTGAGCAGTTCAACCTTCCTCCAGGTTGAGTTTACTGCACGGCTGTAGTGTCTGACTGCATATAGTTTGTTATATATAGAAGCTCTGAGTGAGCAGAGCTGGTGTTTGTCTTCAGCCCGTTCAGTACCTGATGTCGCTGAGGAAGCCCAGCATGCACTGCAGCACCAGCATCTTTGCACTCTGACCTTTCTGATGGAACACATGTGTAGACGGCTTCCTCAGTGTGTTGCTGTGCAGTGGGGCTCCACACAACTACACACTTGTGTTCTTGTGGAGGTTCACGTGCTGATGAAGGGTCCGTTCTCGTCTTTGCTGTGTGCTGGGAGACCGTTTGGGAGAACGGAGATTCACCCTGCCCACTGTGTTCATGCTCCGCTGGAAGGGGGTAGAACCCGTTTTGCCTCAGGAATGTGTGTCGACACCCATAACCCTGATCATGTGATGGCCTGCAGCCCTCTCAGTCCTCCAGCGACCTTTAGGGTCAGCAGAGCTCCTCTCATTGGTCAGCAGACTGCACACAGCTCCAACATGTCCTCTGCACAGGACTCCACCAGAACAGCGCCATGCAAACACCAAAGGCTCTAACTCACAGAACAGAGCTGAGGAGACGGTGCTTTGGGTTTGTTTACTTCCTGTTTTAAGGCTCTCCCGCTGAGCTCTGGTGGTCCAACTACTGTAGTAGTAGGAGGAGAACATGACAAAGCAGAGGTCTGTTTTGGGTTTTTCTGTATGATGAGCACCAACCAGTCGTTTCATAACGAGGCTGATTGATCATTTTGACCATCTCAGGGACTGTGGGAGGTGATATTGTTGAAGTTGTCATCAGAGGTCAGTCAGGGACTCTGAGCACAGAGCTGGTCTACAGACTGAATGCAGCCTGATGGTTCTGGTTGTAACTGATTAAAAACATCATCCTCCTAAAGCTGATTTAGAACAAGAACGTCCAAAGACGTTTGAATTCGCAAATAACTTCCTTTTCCTGTTTATTACCGCTGAAGAATGAAACCCACAGAGGCACCGAGCAGCCGACCCGTCTGACCAGGAGGTTCTGCTCTGTGGAGCCGCACCGTTAATCAGCACAATGTTCTACGACATTAGCGCCACAATTCGTCTCTAACGTCACACAATCATTGTTGGCTGTTGTGTTGCGTTTACAAGCCGTTAGCTCGCCGCTGTCAGCCCGACTCTTTGTGGTCACAGTCAGCGCTGGCCTGCTTCCACACAGGAAACTCACTGCTGCTCGTGTGTTTGTGCGTCTTTGTGCAGGTTGAAGAATGGAGCTGGCCAACCATGGTCTTATCCTGCTGCAACAGCTTAACGCTCAGAGGGAGTTCGGCTTCCTGTGCGACTGCACCGTGGCCATAGGAGATGTCTTCTTCAAAGCCCACAAAGCCGTCCTCGCTGCCTTCTCCAACTACTTCAGAATGCTCTTCATTCACCAGGACAGGTACCACAGGAGCTGCACAGCACAGGGCGAATGAGTGTACTGACAGTGGTGTCAAAAACTGTTAAAGAATTAAGCGTATTAACTCCTGAACCTCCGTCAGGTTCTGGGTGTTTTTTACCTCCGTGACATTTTCACTCACTGTGGGCTCATCAGTGTGAAGTCCTCTGCTTGTACAGAAGCAGCACAACCTGGCTGGAAGCAAAGAGAACTCACAAATGTCAAATAAAAAGGATATATAAAAAAGGTTGGATGTAAATATTTATTTTACCATTTTAATAAACTGGAATCAGCACATACGTTGTTCTGATGCCTTCAGGTGCTGCTACAGAATACAGATATTTAACCGCTTCACTTTTAAATTGGTTCTCGTATTTGTTCCTCTCTGCTCTGTTTTATATTTGGCAAATTTTAAAATGTCATAGTTTTAAGGTTAGATTTGGTCGATGACTCGTCACACGTGTTCGGTTTAGTCGGGTTCAGGCCCGTCAGAAGCTGAAGTGAGACGATTCTGTCTGTCATCGGGATGATAGTTGGTGTCATTTTGGAACATTTCTTAAAACAGTGACGACTCTTTGCAGCCAACCAGCAGGTTTTGGGGTTCTGAGGGTTCAGATCAAAGCATCTGTTCTGCCCTGATCATGTGTTCTAGTGAGGTTCTGCCCTGATCATGTGTTCTAGTGAGGTTCTGCCCTGATCATGTGTTCTAGTGAGGTTCTATCACCTGTGGTCCTCGCTGTCCAGTAGAAGCACAGTAATCACTTTGGTCAGTTGTGTTTCCTGCTGATGAACAGTGTTACATGATGCTAGTATGTCACCCATCATGTCACCAGCTGACTGTGTGTTTTTGTTCCAGTGACTGTGTGCGTCTGAAGGCTGCCGACATACAGCCAGATATCTTCAGCTACCTCCTCAACCTGATGTACACGGGAAAGCTGGCGCCGCAGCTCATAGATCCGGCGCGCCTGGAGCAGGGGGTCAGATTCCTTCATGCCTATCCGCTGCTACAGGAGGCCAGCCAGTCAGTGTATTCCCACCCCGAGCAAAGCATCAACCTCTCCACCTCCCTCTATGGCATCCAGATCTCTGATCAACAGGTGGCGCTGTCAGCCAGACTGCCCACTCAGCTCTCCTCGCCCTTTGACGCGGAGCAGGGCAGCTCAGAGGGGAAGCAGCCGTCCACACCAGCGAGTGCTTCACACGCAGATTCTTTACCGGCCAAGCTGGCGTCTTCGCCCCCGGATGTGGAGGCTTCGACCAGTGGAGCGAAGCCTGCGGCTGAGGAGGGGGGAATGGACCTGCTCAGTGCAGATGGTTCCTCAGCCAGCGCCATCCTTCATGTGAAGCCCAGCATCATGAAGAGGAGTTCCTCCTTCAGGAAGCATTACTCCTGTCACCTCTGCAGAAGCCGGTTCACTCAGAGAAGTCTGCTGAGAGAGCACCTCCTCCAGCACACCCAGGTTCTCCAGCAGACCCTGACCGAGCCCAGCGATGCACTCTCTCCTGTCATGGCTGGAGAACACAGCCTGCTCATAGAGGGGCTTCCTAAAGGGAACAAAGTTGCATCGAGTCCCTCGGTTGCCGCTGCAGCGGTCGAGATCATTAGTGACAGCGAGCAAACCCCTGTTTCAGGTACCAACTCGGACTCTCCCCGAGCAGAGGTGTCCACTTCCAGCTGGGGGGTGGGAGGGCTGAACTCTCAGGCAGACACACCGCCTCCATCAGACATTGCGGACATTGACAACCTGGAGAGCGCCGACTTGGACCGGGAAGTGAAGCGGCGGAAGTACGAGTGCTCCACCTGCGGCCGCAAGTTCATTCAGAAGAGCCACTGGCGCGAGCACATGTACATCCACACGGGAAAGCCCTTCAAATGCAGCGCCTGCGGGAAGAGCTTTTGCCGCGCCAACCAGGCGGCCCGTCACGTGTGCCTGAACCAGGGCGCCGACACCTACACCATGGTGGACCGACAGAGCATGGAGCTGTGCGCCGCCGGAGACGACAGCAGCCAGATGGAGGCCATGTTCTTGGGCTCATCGAAGCCTTACAAGTGCAACATTTGTGCCACCACCTTCTCCAACCCCAACGAGGTGATCAAACACTTGTGCTTCACTCAGGGGGGATTAGTGGGGCTGCAGGGGAACGCCGGGGCAGGCATGCTGCTCCATCGTGAAGAATTTTCCAAAGATGAAGGCTCCGATTTGTCCAACTCTGGCACTCCACTAGAACCCATAAAGACCGAGGAGATCCTCGTAGAATAGTGCCGAAACTGTGTATGTGTCCCTTATAACATGTATGTTTATTATCTAAGTTATGGTTACTAGTAAGCTAAAGTTGAAGTTAGTCAGGGTATGTATGTTGGAGGTTCTCATCTACTTAAACTTTACTTTGTTTTTTGATGCCGTGTTTTGATATTTTGGCCGTGGAGATAACAAGAAGTTCAAATTAAACAGCCTAGAAGTCCCTCTGTAATGAAAAGAAAAGCAAATCACATGACATTCGAGTCAAGGCGGCGATCAGAGTTTCACCGGTTGTCTACGCTGGTGTTAGACGCTGACATGTGAGGCTGCACCAGACCCTCCAGAGCTGCTTCTGTGGTGACGCTGTGCAGGCACTTTTTTCAGTGTGAGAGGAAGAGGAAGCTCAGACGGTTCCGGAGCAGACAACATGTTGTGAGATGAGGCGGCTGTGCTAGTCTTGTGGAGGAGAAAGAGGCGCAAAGTGCTACCGAGACCTCTGGAGCTGCTCAGTTATTTCCACACAGTCAGAACTGAGAGGCTGGTTCTGCAGATCAGGTATAGAAATAAATGTCCAGCTAAAAGCACACCGACCCGAGACAATCTGTGCTCTTATTTGAGTAGTTCTCCATATGCATCAAAGTACACTGGTCTTCCATTAGCGTTGTGGTCGAGGGCTCCGCCTCAGCAGGACAAAGAGCTTGACGTGTAATATGACCACCATTAACTGCATCCTGCTCAGCAACACTTCAGCTGTTTGACTCTGTGTCTGACTCCCGTGTGGACTGTGCTCAGTGTGAATATGGTTCCGTCTCCGTCTTGTCCACCACATGAAGCCAGAGTGGCTCCTGAACACAAGCAGTCGTGTCTACAGCTGTGCCACTTTTAATTCTTTCTCATTTTAACTTGTTGTGCATGTTGTAGAGCTCTTTGGCACACACACACACACACACACACACACACACACACACACACCTTCTGTCCTGTACGATGTTGTACATCCCGTCTTTCATCATTTGCTTGAATTTACTCCTCAAAGCCCTTGAATTTGGTTTGACATGCTTTTCTAATTTTCTATACACTGCTATATTTACAGAGAAAACATTATATTGCAGAGATGTTTGTATATTAGTAGACGAATAGGAATACATTTGGTTTTGCAAAAGCTAACGTATTAGGGATGGGCATACATCTATCCTGATGATTAAAGAGACCCTGTGGGATTTTAGATGTCTTTTTTTTGCCATATTTGTGCTAACTGCTAACTGTCTTATTCGTTTTGTGCAAAGGGAACCGTTTTTTTTTATTATGAAGACCGTCTGGCAAATGTACATGTTTTTTTTGTTTGTTTGTTTTAGCTGTGTCCATACCAGGAAGAGTAGATGCGACATTTGTAGGAGGAGTAACAGGATAACAGGGAGATGCAGGCGTGTTTTATGGGAATATGAAAGGTGGCGTTTCTTACATGTTCCAACGACAGAATACTTCCTGTGTACTACTGATGACTGGATGCAATGAGACATCGTTACGTACATGTCGAATAAATGTGAAGCTAGGAAGTGTTTTACATGTGATCTCATCTGTCTTGCTGACGTGTGTCCAGTGTAATCGTAACTCAAGTCGTCTGAATGGTGAAGAAGAACCTACCAGTCAGCGTCTGTGTTGATTCCTCTGTTGCAAAACTGAACTTAATTTTAACTGTGATTAAAACTTTATACTTAGAAACTCAATGTATTTTTTTTTCCGGTTCTTACATGTCTGAACATTGAGGTGAATCCACTGCAGGGAGGCTAATGGAAGTGTATTGTTCCCTCCACAAGGAAGAAATGAGTGTAAATTTGCTCCAAAATGGTTGTGAGCTTCCAACATCATCCAATTCATAAAAACAGAAATATAGCATCCTTGCTCTTCCATTTGCCGTTTATATTTCTGTCCCAGTCTTTCTGCTCTGTGACACAGTGATGATGATGATAATCACTCTGGAGACAAATAGTACGCCCGTCATTCGAGATGTAGCGCTCAGAAGCTAATTGCTATGCTAATGTGACATCATTTCACATGAAATCTGTTTTTTAGCTCTTTTTTTTTTTACCTGCCTCCATCTTGTAATTATTTCCATGATTTAAAATACTAAAAATGCCCATCCCTAGTATGTCAATTAGAAATGTGGGAAGCAGTGGTTGCTCTAATGCAGTTCACCCAGTGTCCGGCTAGATGGCGCTGTTTCTCTTGGTGTTCTACTCAGGTTTAAAGATGGGGGGAGAATATCAGATTTAACAGTGATTTTTTTTCCTATGTGACTGTGTACTTGCCAATTATTTGCCATAAGTCATATTTAATTCACATTAGAAACGATCTTTCTGTAGATACGAGCTGTTAAATATGTTCAGTGTTGAACAGGGAGCGCCTCTTGTCTGTCTCACGCGAAGGCGATCAAACTGCTGTACTACTGACGTTCATGTTTCTGAGCCAAACTGATGCACAGCTTTACATAAGGACACGTCCTCCCTGTGGTTCAAGCTGTACCCGTCATCCACACACACTAGTTTTGTACCTTTACTTCTGTTTTTGTGTGTGTTTAAACAGCTCAGTATCTCAGGAAGACGACTCGTTTGTCTTTTCTGTCCACTGCTGGTTGTGTGAATAATGAGTTGAGGACTAGTGAAGGCCGACCGGTGCAGCTCTAGTGCACACAGTGTTCCCTCCTCCCCATCTGACATCTACTGTGATCAATCTGTCTTCTCAGGAATGTGAGTAGTTTCTCTGTTTTAACTTTTTTTTCTTTTCCAGTGAAGAAAGAACAATAAAAACATCTTTTTTATAACACTGAGTGGTTTTGTCTTGTCTTTAGCTCAACTCTTGGTTTGCTGCGTTACAGCTTCTGGAGACACTTCTTTAATTATCAGTCTGATTTAGCATCTGTTTACGCCGACAGTAAATAAAGTGTTCTGGTGATTCATCCTGAGTATTCAAGCATTCATTAAAAAATAAATGCACACCGGTTTTCTCTAACTTTATTGAATGAAATATAGACAGGTTTCTGAATCCTTACTATTAACAGCTTGGAAAATATAAAAGACAATTAAGACCATGCTACATGAATATTATGCTAGATGGATGCAGGTTATTAGTTAATATTACAACAATATGCTTTAGGTACATACAGTAGGTATACAATCTGTACAAATGTTAACAGGTTCACAGTTGAGTGTTACAAAAGCAGGGAGGACTGGAGGTGGGAGGTGCTCCTGAACGCTTCACATGATGCAGCGATAGCAAGTCTTTAGTTCACTGTCGGCTTGTGATCATTTATTTTACATAAAGCAGATATATGGTGGATGTGTCACACCCCGTGGAGTCAAAGTAAAGTGAAGTGGCGACCTAATTAAGGTTTCAGACTTCCTGATTCCGACTCGTTTGGTCATAAAGCTGAGTGAAATGTGACTATCAGCCACAGAACATAAATCCAGTGGACTGGAGAAGCTCACAGGATGTTCAGAGGATATGAAATGGTGCAATCTGTTAAAAGTTGGTAGGAATTAAAACAAATACCAGTATAACCCATGGCAACATGATGACTTTGGTGGTAAACGTGGGTAATGGGAGTGTCTCAGGTATTTCTAAAACCAATGAGCACAGTGAGGCCTGACTTTACAGCCGAGGTCTGATGCCTGAACCACAGCAGCTGAGGAGATGCTTTGGAAACCTAATTGGATGCAACTGATGTCTCATCCCGTGAGCGATGGAAAGACCATGACTCCCTGATTTATCCTAACTCGATTTGGCTTTTAAATAAAGCATAAAATGAGCTTTTGTTTATATTTCTGGTACCATGCGGATGGCGTCTGTGCCTCTTTAAACCACTCAGTCTACGTCCTCCCTGGTGCCGGTCCGGTGACCCGAGCGAACACGCTTAGTGAGCAACACGCCGTAGTGCAGGTCTAGCTTCAGGCTGAACCGGACAGAGATCATGTCATACGTTATCAACCGTGTTAAAACACATACATGAAGTCAAAAGGACAGCAATGATGAAGACTACAGGGTGCACTACCTCCTGTGAGCAGTAGAGGGCATCAACATACTTTCTTTACATCAGCAAATGTAAACAGAGCGCAGTAAAGAAAGTGTTCAACTGCTTCACATCACAACAACATATTTCACACAGTAATCAGAGAAAGCGGCCGTTAGACACGTGACCATGATGTGAGCAACAGCTGCATCTGTGTTGTTTGCAAGTTTACCAGAAACCTCTGCCACATGTTCCACTGATGGTATTTTATTGTATTCTTACATGGACTAATGCGTAACAACATCTTTTTCACAGTAAATCAGGCAGTGATTGTGTCTCTTACCTACATGAAGCTTATTCAGAGTTCTGTTTGGGTGCACAATGAAGAAAACGTATCAAAAGTCAGAATGTGGCACGTTTATGACGATCTGCCCTCGTGTTGGTTTCTGTGGGTGGAGTAACACCTGTACCATGGCTTAGCTGTAGTCGCTACAGAACGTTGAAGTAATCGTAGAATATGACAGTTTAAAGCTGTGATACAAAAAGCACTTTATGCAACTGTTCTCAGTGTCCTGATACGACTTAGTGGATGTTTGGTTCTATCAATCCTAAAACCGACTGTCAGAATAAAATACCTGATATATCACAGCTTAATATGGGGATTTAAAAAAAAACAGGTAACAATGTTCATACAACAACAAAAAAGGGTCAAAAAAAGAAAAAATAAAGACTTATGGGTCAATGCAAGAATACTCAAGATATAAATACAATATACAAGATAATCCTCCATCGCTTCACCTTCTCACGCCATCTTACTCGAGCTACTATACACAAAAAATAACACACATGCACGTGCACGCACACACACATATGCACAGATACACACTCAACCAGGTTCTCATCCTACACAGCGAGGGAACGTGACACCCTGAACACACGGTGCAGTGAGTGTGAGCCAGATGGATGCTTGTGAGGCACAGGACATGCAATGAGTGTGTGTTTGTGAGAGTGAGTGGGTGTGTGGGTGGGTGGGTGGGTGGGTGAGGTGGTAGGTGGGTGAGGTGGTAGGTGGGTGAGGTGGTGAGGTGGTAGGTGGGTGAGGTGGTGAGGTGTTCAGGTAGAGGCTGTAGGATGGGGGGTGAAGCAGAGGTGGGACGGGAGCTGGAGAGAATGGCGGAGCTGCAGCTCAGTCAGTCAGTCTCTCTGGGCGGATGGGTGAGGCCCAGTCTCAGCGAGTTACCACAGAGCAGAACCTCTTTGGGTCTCTCTCTCCCTCATCACTCAGGTCCTGGTCCAGACAGTCCGTCTCCCAGGCATCAGTCCTGCAGCTTCAGCTGGGGTGGACAGACACAGAAACAGATGTTAGGAGGGAGAGGAAGTTCCTGCTCTTCATCAGATGGCAGCTTCATCTTGTGGTGTGTTGGAAGAACATCACCACAGCATAATGTTTGTAGGAAGCCTGTGTTAGAGCATCCCCATGTGAACAGCTTCTGTATATGAGGGATGGTTCTTCACTGCATGTTGTTTTATTAAAGCTGATTAATTTGCATTGGTTTGCTGGTTTGGAGGCCGATCAGAGCAGGAAACGAGCTGCAGCCAGCTGATAACATCACTGATCAATACGTTGTCTCTGACCAGCACTTCTGTGATTTAGACAACAAATAGAAATTTACTTCAGTTAAAATGTTTTACTTTTTCTATCAAGATTTATTTTTGTCCGTTTTTACTTTTAAGGTACAATTTTACATTTTAAGTTAAAGTTTAAAAACTTTTTGTGTCCAAATGTATTTTTTCTTAAATCACTTCTTCTTATCGAACAGTTTTTCCTTTATTCTCATATGTATTTATTTGTATTAATGGGAGCTGCGTGACCGTCTAATAACCAGTGAGCTACGACCAGCGATCCCTCCTCCTCACTGCTTATATCAAATAACTGCAGACAGTATCTCTAAAGCATTTTTGCACATTAATAAATAGAAATAATTCAGTTAAAACTGAAAAAAACAACGTCAGTCCTTTGAAGCTTTGTAATTGAATCTAACAGACGCATACTCCGACATGGTTTCTTGACTCCATACTGAGCCTGTGATAGAAGAAAAACATGAGGAGGGAGCAGAGGAATCATAATCAGCCTTTCAGCACAAGTTCATCTGCCCCTCACACACACCGCTTCCCTTTAAGACCCCGGCCTACAAAGAAGGGGTCAACGGCGGCATTCCTGCTTTGATATCAAAGGTCCCCTGGTTACTCGTAGCCCGAACAAAAGCTTTTTCATCTGGTCAGAGTGCAAATCCCCTCCCCTACTCCCTAATAAAAGTAGGACCCATTGATGTTTCAAAAAAGCCTCTATGAGAAGATCGTTTGATAGGCCAACGGAGGAATTCTGACAATAACAACCTTTTTTCATTCTTCACTGTTCTACCAATAATGTTACAAACTGAAATACTAACAAACTGCTTTATGAATAAGTAGTGAAACCGTGGAACACACCGTGGACTGCAGGATTAGTCTCACCGTCTCATGACGTGGCGGTGAGCTCTGAGGACACAGGCTCGATCTCCTTCACAGCCTCCTCGATCACCTCCATCACCTGCGCCATCACTTCTGCACACTTCAGTGATGGTGTCTGCTCCGTCTCTGTCGTTTCCTCCGTCAAACCCGTCGCTTGAGGTTCTTCTGACAACACGGGGAGTTTGCTTCCTTTCACGGGGCTCTTAGCTGGTACGCTGGTGTCTTTGGGCGTAAGACTGTTGTCGCCAAACTCTTCTGCAGCCTCTTCTTCAAACGACGGCTCCTCAACCACCTCTGCTGTCCGCAGGACCACCTGGACCGGCATGTGGATCGCCAGCACTTTCTCTTTGCTCTCCTCTGAAGGAGCCTCTGGCTTGGTTTCCTCTGACTCCTCGGCTTCCTCGGCTGCTGCTGCTTGGACCTCTGGCTGCTCGTCTTCATTGCTCTGTTCCTCCTTGATCTGATCAAGCTCTTCACCTGCCTCACTCTCTTCCTTTATCTCCTCCACCTCTTCCACTATGACAGTTTCTTCACTTGCTTCTACCTCCACAGCTTTCTTTAAGCCTTCAGCTGGTTCCTCCTCCTCCTCCTTCTCTCCAAGGCTCTCTGTGACCTCTATAGCGATGGTGTCGGTGACCTCCATGGCAAGACAGAGGGGCTGAGCAGATGTTTCTGATGGTTTTTCACAGGCAATAGCGACAGGGGTATCGGTGACAACAGGGGTTTCGGTTTCAATCTCAATCTCTTTCTCTGTTGCTGCCACTGCCTTGACTGGTCTGGGAATGAGAGCTGTTAGCTTGGGAGACTTTTTGTGTTCAGACACATCTTCTGATACTTTCTCTACGGCATCCTGAATGACAGCCTGGGCAATGACCTTGCTCTGGGCTTCAATTTCACTGTCCTGCTTGACCTCCTTGACCTCCTCCTTGACCTCCTCCTTGACTTCCTCCTTGACTTCCTCCTTGACCTCCTCCTTGACTTCCTCCTTGACTTCCTCCTTGACTTCCTCCTTGACTTCCTCCTTGACTTCCTCCTTGACACCTTCGATCTTCTCGCTGGCGTGCTCAATCAGTGCACTGATCCCTGCTGGTGGGATGGGCGTGGCCTCCACTATCTTTGCAACAGCACTCATCGTCTCAGTTTCCTGCACCGTGATTGGTTCAAGACCGACCGTTTCTGACACTGATGCGTTTTCCATGACCATCGGGTCTGATGTGGCCACTTGGTCAGACTCCACGTTGAGCGGGGCGACGAGCACCATTGTTTCCGTGATAACAGGAATCTCCTCGGTCTGAGCGTTGACGGGGATGGCTGGTTCGGTCTCGTATGTCACGGTGCTCTGTGTGGATTCACATGAGGTGGACGTCACAGACTGCGCTACCTCTGTCACAGGGGTGTTTTCCACATTGACATCAACACGGCTGACAGCTCCAACCAGCTCAATCTCAGGTTCACAGCTCTCACTGGCCACTTCAATCTCTGTGACTAAACCCTCTGAATTTTCAACAGCTGGCTCGAGCTCCGTGGTGTCTACTTGGTGTATTTGGGCCACGAGCACTTCGTCTTCTGCAACAGTTGCTTCCTCTGATATGGGTGGCTGCTCCTTCACCAGCATTTCTGTGCTCAGAGGATCACAGATCACAGCCATGGACTCCACGATGGGCTGCACAGGCTCCTCCAGACCCACTCTGGCAATTTCCTTGGTGCCAAGGCCAGTGCAGATAGCCATGGCCTCCTCACGACTATGTGGCTCCAGAAGAGTATTTGTCACAGATGTAGCAGTCTCAGTTGGTATTTCTTGCTCGATTTGTTCAGAAGCTGCCTCCATAGGTACATCTTCTACAGTCACAGACGTCTGGGTTGGAATTTCACTGACTTGGGCCTCGATGCTCTGCACAATCTCTGCTGCGCTTTCTGAAGTGGGTCCCTGAGCAACAGGTGTGGTTGCTGCAGCTGGAGCCTGAGGAACGGGCTTCACTTCAGCGGTGGACAGTCTGCGTCCTGCACGCCCTCGAACCCTGAGCAGGGCAGCCTTATCCTCAGCCTCTGTAAGGTCAGAGTCAACAGACTTTGGTGTGGCAGCGTTCTCTGCCTCTTCTGGGATGTCGCTCAGCTGATCTTGTTTATCATCAGCATCAGTATCTTCAACAATTGCTGGGATCCAAGAAGGGGATCTGTCTTCAGCAGCAGACACTTTAATCTGGATGGTAGCTGGCTGCGCTGCTGCGTCTTCTTCAGTTTCAACCTGTTCGTCATACTCTGAGAGCGGAACCACAGCTGGGGTGTCAGAGTCCTCCTCACCTGAGCCCAGTTCAGAGGAGGATTGTTTCTCAACCTTCTTCTTCTTGCGTCCAGGGAAGAGTTTCCTCAGAGAGAACAATGACTCATCTTTGGATGCTTCACCGTCTGACAGGACTTGTTCTGCAGGCTCCTCAGCCTCTGGCTTGGCCCGGTTCTTGGACATAACAATACGTTTCAGTGTGTCCCAGGCGGACGGTTTCTCAGGGGGGCTGGTTAAAGGTTCAGGTGAAGAAACACCTTCTCCTTCACTCTCTGTATTTTGGGAAGTGACAATGGCAGCTTCGGGTTTGCCCTCCTGTTGGACCTCTGCTGCTGCTCCTGGAACTTCCTCTTCAATCTTGGTCTCCTCATCATCAGAGTCAGAGGTCTTCCTCGTCCTCTTTTTGGGCCCACCCATACACATTAAAGCCTCCCAGGAAACAGAAGTGTCCATTTTCTTTTTGGGTTCCTCTGTGCTGCTGGCTAGATTCTCAGTATTTTCCGTCTTTGGCTCTTCCTCACAGGGCTTGTCCTCCTTGTCCTCCTCCTCAACACTCTTATCTGCTAATGCAGTACTCTCAGAGGAGGACAAGGTGGCTGACTTGGCTGGTTTCTCCACTGTGGCTTCATCTTCACTCTCAGAAGGTCTTTTTACACGTTTCTTGGGCGTTACCAGTTTCTTGAAGGAGGACCAGGCAATGATGCCATCCTTCTTCTTCTCTCCATCAGATGCAACTTCACCTTCATGCTCTTGACTAGACTCATTCTGGGTCACCTCCACGGCGATAGTATGCTCTCCGGACTCCTCTGGAGACGAGGGCCCACTGTCAGCTTTAGGGGCCTCTGCTACCTCTGTGGATGATTGGAGCTGCTCAGCTGCCTGCTCTCCAGACTCAGCGGGCTTTGATTCAGTGTCTTTCTTGCCCTTCTGTTTCTTGGTTGAGAGCTTCTTTAAACCAGCTCCGGTGAAGATCTTCTTCAGGGGGCTTCCCTGGGGCTTCGTCTTCTCCTGTGATGACAGCAGCTCTGCCTCAGAAGTCACCTCGGCTGGAGCCTTGTCCTCTTCTGCAGGAGCCTCTGCTGTTTGGTCTTCTTGTTTGGTGTCATCAGTGATGTCTTCCGGGGTTTTAACGGTGCTCTTGGGCTCTGGAGTGGCCTCTGGTGTTGCTTCCTCTGGAGTTGCTGGGTCCTTCTTCTTGGGCACAGGAGTCTCTAATACTTCCTCCTTGACTTCCTGCTCAGTTGGAGCTTTCTCTTCCACAGCAGTAGCACTTTCCTCCGTCTTAGCTTTCTCCTCCTCAGCAGCCTCCTTGTCTTCTTCCTCTTTCGTCTTCTTGATGCTGGATTTCTTTCGCAGATTTGAGAAGAGTCCTCCACTGAAGAGCTTCCTGAAGGGGGATACAGTGGTGTCCTGAGATGCTGGACTGGTCTCACCTTCCTTCACAGCTCCTTCCTCTGTGGCCTCCTCAGTAGCTTCAGGTGGAGCATCACTGACTTCAGCTTTGTCAGCATCTTTACTGACCTCAACAGCTGATGCCTCGTTGTCAGCCGTCTTTTCTTCAGCAGCAGCAGCAACCTCCTCCTCCTTTGCAGGCTCGTCAGTCCCACTGACCTCCTCTCCTTCTTTGTCTTTGACTGTCAGTAGCTTCACAGGGTCCTTCTCCTCAGTTTTATCCTTCTTGAGTGTGAACTTAAAACCCACAAAGCGGAAGATCTTCTTAAAGCCCACTTCACTGGCATCGTCAGGCTTTTCCTCCGCTGCCTTTTCCTCAATAGCAGAAATGTCATTTGCGTCAGGCGACTCTTTATCCACCTTCTCGCCATTCACTTGAGGAGCCACTTCGTCCTGGACAGGGTCCATGGTCTCAGGAGCCTCCTCCTTGGGAGCCACAGACACACCATCTGGCTGGCCAACTGAAATGAAAAGAGAATAAAGAGCTTTCTGTAAGATGCTGATCAAATGTCTCACTTCAGGTTACTGCTTGTCTCTGCAGCCACCGCTGTGCTGCAGGCGGCTCACTAATGGCATCCCCATGATATTCAAACTAGACTAAGTTCTGTAACATCCAATTTAACAAACTCAGGTAATAATGAGGAAATCAAATCACTGACAAAGACTCCAGAAATCATTCTGTGCTCCACAAAAATCTTCAAGGAGAAACTCAAAAACAACTTAGAAAATAAAGGAGTTTTATATTATTGTTATATTATTATTATTTCATAATTCTCATCTGCAGATAATCAGGGATGTTAAACCAAAAGTATGTGCTGAGTTTGTGACAATCTGTTATCAGGTGTTTGGCTGCAGTCAGGTTGTCATTTGGTCCAGCTAATCCTGGACAATTCGTTTAGGCAGATTAAACAGCAGTCCCTACGAAGATCCATTAAAGATTCTGGACAACAGCCGTGATGCTAATGGGAGCGTTGGCCTTTCTATAACATCATGTGTGCAGGCCTGGAACACAGCTGGCCAGCTGTGCAGTGGATTAGCCCACTTTTACTCACTTCGTCAAACTGAAACACTTATTCTATTACGCTGAGTGATTCCTTTGGGAGTCAAACTCTTGTAAGACAAATGATGCACTGAAAGCTGGGATCAGAGACAAAAACCACCAGTAGACAGAAAATGCATGTCTGCCGTGTCTATCTGTGCTCTGACAGAGGAAGGCGTGGGGGGACGATGGCTGGCCAGAGTCTGCTCTGAGCTCACTACAGTCTGGGAAACCTCACATGTGAGACCCCTGGGCTCTCAAAACAAATTCCCAGAACTTTAAATCCCTGGATATCAGGTTACATGATTACACACAGAGATACAGACACGTTCCTTAAACATGGCACACTGTGGGAACTATCCTCCGCTCCTTTCCTGCCAGTAACACACATCACGTTATCAGTCCTAATAAACACCAGCTTTGAATTCAAAACTAATGGACACATATTGTTAAAGAAAAAAAAAAAAACAGGGCACATTTCAATATGCTGTCTTCTGTGCAAACTGGGTCCAGTTTGTAAGTAAATCTCTATAATTTGTGTGAGATGACTGTTCTTGTCTCACACAAAAATGTCCGACTGTGTGCCCACATCTGTCTGCATCCTTTACCTAAATTATAGGCATGAAGCTTCACTCAGTAGCGCCGCATTCCCAGAATATTTCAGCTTTAAAATAGAAAACCATTATCTAATAGTTCACCTGAGCAGTACAGATTGGGTAAAACCTGTCTGCACTGAATGCACATTAAACCTGTGTGATGAAACAAAGCGCTGTAACGGAGCGGTGCTGTTAGCGAGGGCACGCCCGGATCTCATGCATAGATTCCACTGCAGAGGAATGCCAGCAATGCTGGTCAGCCCATGTTTAGGAAAATTATTTTAGGATGCTCTAAACATAATTTGAATTTTAAATGCCAGGGGATTTCAAGAATGTTTATTTGTTTTTTTCGGTTAAACTGCGTCTCGTCTGTATTCATACAAAACAATACAGACCTCCACCACCCCTCCTTCAAATAAGGCCCAATCCCCTTGACCCAAATTCCACCACAGCAGGATGGATGGGGACCCACCCCCTTCCCAAGGCACGCTCGCATACAAACACAATAGCCTTCTAACCCTCTCTGGCCTCTGGAAATAAAAGAAAGGGGGGTTGGTCAACTCTCTGATTCGAACTAGAGAAGATTTGGAGGAAGTTTGGAGGAAGTTTGGAGAAGTTTGGAGAAGTTTGGTAACTTTGCTGCACTGATCTGAACATGAATGAAAAACGGGGGACTGATAGATGAGTGGATTAATGACATCTGTGTCACATGGTGGCGTGCTCGGTCTCACGTAGGTGTTGTTTTCAGGGTACTTGTCACATCACACTGTTGTTAAAGAGGCAGGTCAGAGCCAGAAGACCAGAAGCATCTAATCCACTCATATGAACATAAGCTTCAGTGTACATGCCTACACCACCTCCTGCGGGCTGTTTTCACTGGATTTCCGGTGTAGTGGAGCCTTTTTTTTTTCTTCTGTTTTCTGAGTAAAGATGTGTGAGTGGGAGGGTCCGACTGTTGGTGAGCCCGGCCGGCCCGACCATGTGCATGTACATGGATCATAAAACAGGAACCATGTTGATTTAACAGACTGCTGGCATCTCTCGCGTCTTTTTGATCTTTGTTTTCCAGCCCAGCTTTTTTTTCCTTTCCAGACACACCGCCGTTAACATCCCTGATTTGAGGGGAAGGAGTAAATGCATAGAGGAGGAGGAGGAGGAGGAGGAGGAGGGTGCTGTGAGTAATGACTGTACCAGAAAGAATGTGAGGGTGAGCCGGGTGAGGGAGGGGGACAGTGAGGAGGGAGGCGGGGGAGGTCGGGGGTGTTCGGCCACAGGGCGAACTCACTCCAGAGGGTGTCACGTATCTCTGACACACACATCCATAGCTGAGATGCTTGTCTCTGCTGGAGACAGGCTTTGTTTATGTGCGAGTGTGAGAGCATGTGGTCGGGCCAGGCGCTCGTATTAAATGTCGCCGCAGCCCCGAAAAACACCCTGATTGTTGTAAATGTACTCCAGTCTCCAGCGAGATCAGATAGAGTTTCTGTTGTGGCTGTTGGGCTCTACGATGGGATATGAGTTGTGATGGGGGGGAGGGGGGGTGACAGTTGGAGTCTGAATGGCAGCTATTCTCTCTGCACTAAGTTCAAACTTGGCTAAATGTATGCAAATCCTCGTTGTAATCACTCCAGTCTGGACCAGGAGCCTTTAAAACAATAGGAGTCAGTTAAAGCACCCCCACCCCCCCCAGCACCCTGCCCCCACCGAGACGCTTCCTAGCACCCCTCTCTGGAGCAAAGGTGTGGTCGGAGTGTCTCTGTGGCTCCGGGGGACGGATCAGCAGCGATATAACATCCACTGCTGGACCATTTGTTCCCTCCTTTATCTGGTTCTGATCAGTCCGAACCCAGATGTTGAAGCAGCACGACCCAGAAAACACCGTTTTTATTAATATCAACATTCAGGCATTCCATTCACGCATCGAAAGCAAAAACACGAGGTCACCATGAAACCAAACACCCTGCTCTATCTGAACCATCACCTCCAGTTATAGGACCTGGACAAGAATCAGTCCTGGCATGTAATTAACTCCATACGAGCCTCTCTCCTCCCTCCCTAATGTCCTCTGTGGCTAAGCTGAATAACCCCACTGGGAATTAGGATCCCACTCTAATCTAATGAAATGCTTCACATGATGGGACGCAGGGAGCCGGCTCAGATGGTCGCATGAGCTGGGCTTTGAAAATATCTCCGTCTGCGAATGCATCTTTGTGTATTTCCATCCGGCAGCTGTCTCTCTGCGAATTCTTCACTCCAGATATCTTAGCAGTTGTATGGGATGCACAGCCGGAGTTCAAGGCAATTACAAGTTTGGTTTTGGCCCGAGGACGCGGCTGGGAATAATATTTGTAAGTATGATTGACTACAGCAGTTAAGGATTATTTGCTGTTCACACAGCGAGGCTCTACGGTGGTCAAACCAAAGACATCTCCAACTGGAAATCACTCATGTGTGCCGGGACGTCTACAAACCACAATGCAAACTAACCACACCCTCAGGACAACAATGCCTTCAGCTACACTCGCTCGTATAAGAAGAAGAACGCTCTGTGTTCTCAGTATATCTCAAATAAATCACTAAAAGCAACAGAAGGTGTTCAAAAGTTTAAATATGTGCAGCGAGCAAAGCAAACAGCAGCCACAGCTTCACATCAACAAAGATCCACATAAACCATCCCACAGCCAAGAACTCCAAACTAAAGTTCAAATGTGATGACTGATGGAGGCCTTACCTGTCAGAGTAATTGTTCCAAGCATTGGTAGAAGTCTAAAAACCGGTTCTCCAAAAAAATCACAAAATCAAAAACAATATTAGAAAAAATAGATGATTTAAAAAAACACTTAGTAAAAATGTGAACTGTTCAGTCTTTGAGTTTCTCTGCACACGGATCTTCTTCCACTCGGTTCCGTTCTAACTGGACTCGGGCTGAGGCTGAAGCTGTGTCTTCCTCTCCTGCAGCGCTTCCAACTCGTATGAACAGAACCAGAGCTCCACACACATTTCAACAGGCTGACACACATGTCATGTTGGGACCACCCCTGCCTCCCTCGTCCTCCCACCTCCTCTGCCTTTCTTCAGCTGTTCTGAATGAAAGCCCCCCCCTCCCTCCTCCACCGCCTCCCTCCCTCCCTCCTCCTCCTCCTCCTCCTCCTCCTCCTTTATCCGCTCACACTCCCTCAGACCTCAGCAGCGTCCAGCCTGCATGACGGGAGCTCATCATGTGATCTTTCAAGGAAGTCGTCCATCGCTCAGGAAAACAAAAACTATTGTACATGCACCCCCCCCCCCCCCCCCCCCCCCCCTCACTGTCACATACATGTCACATACATGTCACATACATGCAAACTGTCTGGCCTTAACATCCAATATGTGTCCTCAAAAGACAGTTTCTCACACTGGAAACAGCCTCAAGCGCCACAGCTCTCCCCTTTACTCCACTTTTTTCCGGCTCCCCCTGTATCTCATAGCTCATGTCAGCAGTCATGTAGGAATGTTGATGGAGGGAACCCAGAGGGAAATTCAAGACCTTTATGGATACTAACTGAAAGTGGCAGCTTTTTGGCTTCCACAGCTCCATTATTTAAAGAAAAAAACAACAAGTCAGCCCACTATATAGTCACCAAACATGTTCCCTGTTTAAGTTCCTACAACCCACACTGTGGACGGGGGGCAGTCGGGTCACCGCCTGCCCCCCGTGAATGTTAATAGGCCCCTCTCAACTGCTCCAATACAGACACATTTAATTCAGCTTTTGTCTGTGGGGGGGAGAGAGACTGGCAGGAATGCAGATAAATCCTCAGGTAAATACCAGCATAATCAGATCTGT